TCAACCAAATGTTCTTTTCCTTTTTCCGCAAAACCCCTCGGTTGCTCCATGTAAATTTCTTCTTCGAGGTCATCATGAAGAAATGCGGTCTTCAAATCAAGTTTCTCAACTTCAGGGTTCATACTTGCGGCCATGCCAAGTACAACCCGAATAAAAGATATATTCACAATTAGCGAGAAAATCTTATCAAAGTCAACACATTTCTTTTGCCCAAAACCTTTCACAACAAGGTGTGCCTTGTACTTTAGATTCTTGTCATCATTCTTCAATTTGAAGAGACCCACTTATTTTTCAGATTTTTCCTCTCCTTAGGCAACTTCACCAAATCATAAGTGTGGTTTTCAAGCAAGGAATTCATTTCATCTTCCATGGTCTTTTTCTAATCATCTTTCTTTGCATACTCAATTGCTTGTTGGTTGTTCTTGGGCTCCCCTTGATTGGATATCAATACAAATTCATTGGGAGAATACTCTTTCGAAGGTTGTTGGTCCCTTGTAGATTTCCTCAACTCAAGTTGTGGTGGTGATTCTTGAATTGGATGCTTTTCCTCAATTTCAGGCTCAATTTCATTTGGAGTAGCATCATCATCCACATCTTCAAGAGGTGGCTGCACATCTGAACCATTTTTATTATCTATTGAAGATGAAAGAGATGGATCAATGTCAATGAGATCACTAATTTTTGGCTCCAGTTGATTACATTTGCCAAAGTCTTCAATTGTTTGGTCTTCAAGAAACACAATAGCACGACTTTGAATAACTTTCTTGTCGACCAGATTCCACAATCTATAACCAAATTCATCACGCCCATAGCGAAGGAAAATGCATTGTCTTAACTTGCTATCAAGCTTTGACATCTCAGCCTTTAGAATGTGAACAAATGCTCGGCAACCAAACACTCTCAAGTTCTTATAAGACACATCTCTACTGGTCCAAACTTTCGGGAACGTCACCATTCAAAGGATATGAAAAAACAAATTGATCAAGTTAACCACTGTCTTTATTGGCTCACCCCAAAAGGATCTTGGTAATTTGGCATGTGAAAGCAAACACTTTGTTCTTTTTACAATGGTGCGATTTATCCTCTCGGCAATGCCATTTTGTTGAGAAGTCTTCCTAATTGTCCTTTGATGCCGAATACCTTGGTTGCGACATTACTCATCAAATAGCCCAATGTATTCACTGCCATTGTCTGTTCGGATACACTTTAATTTCAACCATGTTTCTCTTTCAATTACGACCTGAAAATTCTTAAATATATCTAGAACTTGATCTTTAGTTTTTAGTGCAAAAGCCCAAACTTTTCTTAAATAATTATCAATGAAAGTAATAAAATAAAATGCATCACTATGTGTTCTAACTTTCAAAGGACCACACACATTCGAATATACCAAGTCCAAAATATTTTCTTTTCTAGAAGCAATGTTTTTATGAAAAAAAAACTTTATGTTGTTTATCCGCCAAGCAATGAACACAAGTCTTAATATGTGTACTTTTCAAACTAGGTAAAAGGTCTTCCTTGAACAAATCTGGCAGCGCCCAAGTCGCTTGTGCCACAAATTGGTAGAAGTATCATCATCAAGTGCATTGATAGCACCTCTGTAAATTTTTCTTTGCAAATAAAATGCACCATTGTAGTTTAGTTTTGCTAGCCTTCGTTTGGGTTGGTTGGTTGTAGTGGTGTCGGAGGAATGCCTCTTGTAATCCTGTATATTTCATTCTCTTAATTTTATAACTTACTTACCTAAAAGAAAAGTTCAAGTTCTTCAAACCTTAGATGATTTTTAGTTATTAAAGTTGCTATAAAACTTTGTTATTTTCAAAATTATGGTTTAGGGGAAGAGGAGGCAAGTGATTTCAGTAAAAAAAAAACTCACTAAATTCTCTCAAAGCTTGGACCTTTTTGAGAGGGGGAGGAGGGGATAGGGGCTTCTTTTATAGGCAAAGAGGAGCCTTGGGGAACACCTTAGGTTGTGCTAGGGTTGTCTCATCGCTTCCCCTTGTTGCTTTCCTACAAATTTACGTCAATATTCAGTTGCCAAAACTAAAACTGGTATGAGACGATGTGCGGACACACTAGGCAAGTGCGCTAGTGTGTCCGCACAAGGTATGTGCTTACGCACACTGCACGTGCGGACGCACATGCGGCCCTAGGGTATTGTGCCATCCATGAATGCACAAGTGCGGGGTTCTATGCATTTGGCTTGCTTGTTACCCAAGTAAACTCGAATTGCCTCCCGATTAATGTTTTTGATAAAACTAGTCACTAATTTTGGAAAATATCATTAACCAAGGTGCAACTGAGCTTCTCCCTCCCCCTCGGGACCAATCAGTTGTTTTTGGCTAAAAACAGGTACAGGGGTAAAATGGTCACGTTTGCAAAAATATGATTTTTTTAGGTACAGGGGTAAAATAGGGTAACACAACAACTTTAAATATCTCAACATTTTTTTAGGGATGAAGTAATTACGATTTCATCATTGGAAAGCTTGTAAACTCTTGAAATCTTAAGGTCAGTCAAAATAGGGTGTCTATACATTGCACTTAGCTTGCATAGGCCCCCAGATGCTATTAGAGTAAGGACAACTGAAGAACAAGAGATCAAGATCCTCATCCTGGGAAGTACTAAGGTCCCTAGGATTTCTTTTAAGGATCAAATTTGAATGTTCTTGGTCAAAAATGCCCTCAAACCCTAACATAACGTATGATTATGGAACACATTTTTTGTCCCCTCTCTTATTGTTCCCTCTCTCTCTCTCTCTCTCTCTCTCTCTCTCTCTCTCTCCGTCCTATGTTGACGCCATCTTTAGATTTTTCAATGGAGACCATACCAACAACGGCGAAATTAAAGACCATGATAGCTTCAGAGAACCTTCATCTTGATCGTTGATATGAAGGTTTGAGTATGAGGAACTTGATTTCCGATCCACAAGCATGAGGTTTTTAATTCGCTAGTTTTGTGTAGGAATACCAACTATATGCAAATCACGATGAGACTGAACTTTGCCACACTTTGGAGGTGGTTCAAAGAGGTTGTGACGTTTTCAAATTGGTTGTCATAGTCACACCAAGGGTTTTTCATACCTATAAGGTCGGACAAGAGTGTTGTTAGAAGCCAAGTGATACAAAAGCAAGATTTTGTGGAGCAAGTGGGTTATGCATTGAAGACATTAGTTACTAATGATTGGAATATGAAAATGGTGCCAGCGGCGAAGATAAGGAATTCTAGAAGAAGAAAGAGAAGTTGCAAGATTTTGAGCAATAACTCAGTTATGTATCTCAACAAGCCAGTTCATCATTTTTAGTTATACTCACCTTCGTATGCGTGAAATGTGCATGTAACTAGTTAGAATTTCACTTGAGTAAAATCAATTGTCCATATGTTATATCTTAAACTATTACTACTGTTCAGTTGTGTAGATGTGGTCTGTTATACTATTCCTACAGTTCAGTTGTCCATATGTGATCTCTCACACCATTTTCTTTCTCTTTACCATATATCATAATTAGTGAAATTTCGTTGACTATCTAAAATCAATAAATTTTTACTCACACCATTCTCTTTCTTTATACCTTCTCTCATAGTTACTCACTAACTTTACTAAAACTTCACTTATTTTACTGACTAAAATTTCATTGAGTTCGCAAAATTCCACTGGCTTTGGTCACCTTAAAGGTCTTACCGTCGAGCTTTACAACATGACTGTTTTTGTATTTGATGCTTACACCAGAGTTTTAAATTTTAAAACAAAAAGTTGAAAATTCCGTTATATTGAGAATAGTCCCGAAGGAAATAAAAGTTTGTGTTTTTCCCCACATCTTTATATTAGAGAAAATTTCATTGATTGAATGTTGAACATAGAGAAATTTCAGTGTTATTATGTTAATTTTACTGTGTTGAATACAATGAAACTTTAAATTTATCAATTTTGAGCCCTCATTTTGACAAAAAGAACTCAAATTTTGCAGTTTGCCTTCAATTTTGCATTTTTCAATCATTAATTGAAAATTTTCACTATGTTTGTAGTAGCAATCTCATAGAAATTTTACTTTGTTGAAAAAGTTGTTTGAGAGTTGTCGCCAACTGGTGGGGATGATCGAAAAATCACCAACAAGAGTAGGCCAACCATCAGAAGTAGTTTGTAGAGGGTGGAAATGGTAGTTGATATAGTGGTGGCAATAAGGGTAGTTTTGTCCCAAAAAAAGTTGGTGTCGTTAAGCTACAAATTGTTTTGGGTAATTCTATTGGCAAACCACAAAATCTCAAACACATTATTTATGTCATTCGGATATAAACTTTCAAACAAAAGTCAAACATTCAAACATAAACTTCTAAACAAAAATAACGAAATATATATATGAACAATTCATTTTTGTTTGAAAATTTGTCCGAATTGATTTTTATTCGAAAGTTTATATCAAAGCGACACAAATGGTGTACAAAGAATTTTTATGGTGTGCGAATAGAATTTCCCATATGTTTTTTTGTTGACCCTTAACTTGTAAAAACTATTAACTACGGACCTAGGAAGAAAAAAAAAAAAAAAACAAAAATCAAACAAACAAAGCCCCATTTTAATTTCCAATGGTCTGTCATCAACCTTTTGTCCAAAATTAGGAGAAAAATAGAAGAGGCCCAAAATAAGGTTTGGCCCAATCCGTCAAACACCACATCTGACCCGATCAGCCGAATGGGATGTCTGGTCGATTTTGATATGCTGTTGGGCAGAAACTAGTTTGCATAAACTTCCCACCTGATACCCATAGGACAGTTCAAGGTCAAAACAAAAACCAAAACCAAGACCCAAAAAAAAAAGCAGCAGCAGGAACAGCAGCTTTGCTCAATCACTCAACTTCGCTTTCTATCGACTTCTATAAACCATTTACCTTCTAAAATCTATTGTCTTCAAAGGGAGTTCGACAAAATCTGGAAATAATTCCAGCCTATCTTGGGCTGGAGATGACAGTGATTCAGCCAAAATCATACATATAATCTAAAAATTGAGCATTACAACTGGCCATTTATTAATTAAATTGAACTAGGGAAAATAGTATCCTCTCCTACCTAGCTCAAAAGGCATCAACTATAAACATCACAATAGTACCCTTTCAATTGTAGCAAGTTCATGCCAAAATTGAATTTACTAGTCACTCACCGAGTATTTGAAATGCAAGAATTGTCACATTGTACTGTTATTATCCAAAGGATCAGAACAATTAAAACATACTTCAAACTCGATATATAGTTATTGCCCTTTACAAAACTGAAATAAATTTTACAAACTAAGCGTACAAAGCTTCATATTCTCTTGCTGTATATGGAGGAGGCAGAATACCTTTTAATTTTATGAAAGTATCTATACAACCAGATGGTGCCTCACCAACAGTTGAATCCAAAACAGAGTCAGGAATCGCCACAAGAGTTTCCTCAAGAAAGAATTTCATTGTCTGCAGATTAAAGAACCATGTCAATAAACTTTATATGTCCATGACTGATGAAGGGTCATAGGCCTGATATGGGCATGTTCCACATAGTTTGTAGCAGATTAGGCATATTTGTTAGTTTCGCTATGTTTGGTAAATTATAATGAAACAGCTTGATTATGCAGCAGTTTAATCAAAGGAAAAAGTGGGCTACTAAAGGCTACTTGAGAAAAGCACAAATTTTGAACATTAGCATTTGGAGGCAAATTGTTCCAAATCCAACCCTTTTGGGTAGCTTCTATGAAATTGAGACAGAATAACAGAGACGTCATTTGAACAACCAATCTGCAGCATTTATCCTATGTTTGTTCAGTGGAATGGAATGATCATTCTATCATAGTATTATTTTTTTTGGGTAGGTAATCCATCATAATATTCATTCATACATTTGGTTCACTAAAAAATGATGAAAAATGTATTACAAATGGACTAATCATTCACCATTGTAAAGAAATAGTCATTCCATATACTAAAGGAAGAACCATTCCATTCCATTCTAGTACACCAAACACTACATTAGTATTTTACATACCGGGCAATGTTGTAAAACAGCATCAACTTTGCGTTTCCATAAGCCATTTCCAGGCTCTGAATGGAAAAGACCAAGTAGAGGCTGCAATAACCCATAGGGAATATAAGCATAAGTGGGTGAGAGCAACAAGTACATATAATACTCCAAATTTAGTAGAAGACTGACTGGTGCATCAGCATTATCCATAACACATACACAAAGTATAACAAAATATTCTCAAAAAAAAAAAAAGAAAAAAAGAAAAAGGGTAAGAAAATTGGGGTTCTTTATAAGAGAAATTGCCCTTCATATCAAACATTTTTCCTCCATTCTCACAAGGACTAAATTTGGATTTGGACATATCACATAACTGAATAAGCGCATAAGGCCCACCGAACTCAAATGGCAGATGTAGGAAACAATAATTCCATGCAATGTTAATACACACCCACAATAAACAACAAAGGGAAAAAAAAAAAAAAAAGAGCAAACACATTCAAGAGTAAATTACACTTCGCACCCTCGTACTTTGCACCAAATCCTACTTTGGTCCCTACACATGAAATCGTGGCAACCATCCCCCTGCACTTCTGGTCAAGTGTCAACGCTCCTCTTCTGTTACTCCATTGTTTAATTCTTTAACAAAATCCAATTAGGTGACAAGCATGTGACTACGAAATGAGGGCAACACATTTCCCACCAATACACTTTGTTCCACCTGATAAGCATGTAAGAGTTATATAATACAATATATATGTGTTCATATGATGACAATAGGGACAAAGAAGCAAGAAAACAGAGCTTTTGAAATAATAAAAAAAGAAAGCAGTAGAGAAATCGAAGAGAAACGAAAATGAATAAATGAAAGACTGTGTCACTGTGAGAAAAACAAAGCTTTGTGATTTCAATTTCTGCAAAATCCTAATTCATTTTCTTAATCGTTCACAAACTGCGTTTTGTTTTTGCATATAAATTTTGAGACGAAATGTGTATAGGCAGGAAATGGGGATGATTTTCCTCCTTTTCCTTCATTTTGTAGTCATATGTTTGTCACATTATTGACTTCTGTTAAAGACTTGCATGGAGTAACAAAAGCGTTGACTAGAAGCACAGAGGCTTTATTCTCACAATTTCATATGTAGTAGAGACCATAGTTGTCAAATCGGGATTTGAATTATGAATCGAAATATATTTATACCCTTGGATGTTAAATATATTTTATGAATATGAAATATTTAAACTTAAATCAATGAAAATGTTGTTTTGAATGATGGCCACATAGTTTAATAAATAAGAAGTTAACAAAGGTTCTTATAGATCACCAACTTACCTTTTCCTTTTTTCAGACATTTCTTATTAACCATTCTTAATAAAGATAGTAAGTAAAGACAAACTCTAAATTTCCAAAGTAACAATATTGATATTTAGACAATAGGCGTACATATTTTTTCAAGTACCAATGACCAAATAATAGAATTATTTAGGATCTTTTATTTTAAAGCTTAAAACATTTTAAGAGGTATAACTGACGTCACTTATATAATATTCCACTATATTAATTTAATAAAATAGCAATAGATAATTTATGGTGTAAGTTACTTCAATCTTAAAGAAGATATATTATGATTTTTTGAAGAAAAAAATGAGAAGGTTAAAAACATGTTAAGTCTGACTGAATCTGATTAGATCCTATTAAAAACTCCATGATCACTAAAATAACAACAAATCATGTATATGTATTGGTTATTTTGGTATTAAACGCTATTAGAAGTTGTATTATGTCATTTTTATTAAAAGGAGACAAAAAAAATAGTCAAAAATATATCGGACACAATAGTTCCAAGAGTTGCATGAATCGTAAAAAGTGAATCGATCGTGAATCGTGTGATTCACTATAAATTCACTTCCAAAAGAGATTCACCCATAGATTTGTATTGATTTTGCAAAAATTGCAAATCAAATCGCGAATTGTAAGATTCTGATAACAGAGGTAGAGACCAAAGTGAGATTTGGTGTAAAGTGTAAGGGTGCCAAGTGTTATTCACCCCACATTCAACCACTACAGCAGCTTTTATGTAGGTGTAGCCATTTAAGGGCATATCTACTGAAACAGTTCTGTTTCGTACATCACATATAATCCAACTCTCAGTGACATGGCTAAACTAAAGATCTTACTAAACAAAATACAATTGCAACCTACCTTAACCACATCCCGAATAGTTGGTTTATGTCCATACTTCCTCATAATAGAATCCCCATATACCATGTACTTTTCAAGGACCTACAAAAAATAATCCTAAACATGGATTTAGTGGTTAATGGATATTAAACGGATACATCCCACAAGAAACCCAGTCTGCTTCAGAACCTGACGGCGTGTGAGATCAGTGCAAGGTTCACCATAAACTGCAGTATCGACATGTCCCAAAGTGTACCAAGGGCTGCCAGAAACACAAAATGGTTAATTTTGTAATAGTTATCATATGTTGGAATATCCCCACCTCATTCTATTTGGGATATCCCAACTTATTCTATAACCCAACCAGTCATCATAAATTTCATAATTACATGAACTTATTCTATAAATTGAGAGAAAACATGCTAAAAGATGGTTTGGTCATGTATAACAAAAACCAGTAGATGCGATGAGCAAGAAGAGATATGATCACTGTAAATAATATGTTTGGGAGAGTGGACGACCTAAATTGACTTGGGATGTGGTAGTAAACAAATGAAAATAGTTTATTTAATTTAACTCAACATATAGCCATTAACAAAGCGGAATGACAAAATAATAATAATAATAATCATGTAGCCAACGTTACTTATTGGGACACAACACAAGGCTAAGTTTGGTCTGGTTGCATACATTATACATGCATAATATGCAGATGGATATATCTGCATTGGAACGTTTCAACAAGAACTAGTAAATTATTAAGATTTGTTTTAATTTCAATTTATTTCTCAAATTTTTTAATTTCTTAAACCTTCTCAGTTTGGATTAAATATTGCATTGTTGAATTGGTATTTGCCCTTACTGAAACAAATTTGGAACTGCTCTAATCGGAATCAAATTATTTTTTTCTGGCCTAGCTTGTGGAGGACTTCCAACAATGCAAATTATGAGTAGCAATCTTCTCAGAATGCATTTTGAAGTGAGCGCAGACCATCTTTTCCATGGAAATGAAGCCCTATTGAAGTGGATTTTTCATATGGATGGCTGCCTTGAAGCAATCTTAACCACTAATTATTTGAGAAGTCAAGCATGAAAAGGCGCTTCACCAATGATATGTGGAATCAATAGTTCTCAATTTTCTGTTTTCTTGGATTTGCTGAGGATGGCATTAATTTTTGGGTTAGAATATGTCCAAGGGAGTGGCACCTCTCTATGTGATTGTGTATATATAGAGTCACTAGGAATTCTAAAGAGTGAATTCCCTGTTTATAAGCCAAAACATTGGATATTAAGCTCCTCCTGTTCTCTTAAAAAATCTTTTCTAGTTACTGTGGATCCATATGTATAAATTTTGGCAAAATATACATTTTAAAGAGAGATATAGTTGCCCATATCGGTATATCTTTTGTGCACATGGGTCACACCTTCTTTGGTGCTTTTTAATGATATCAGTTATTAAAATATAAATAAATAAATAAAATTAAAGCAGATTTTCATTTCATCAATGCCTAGAACAGTGCAAATAAATTCTTGTATTGTTATTAAAAAATGTTCAGATACAGATCGTATGGCAAAACTATGAAATATATTGTGTTCTCATTATGTAGTTTAGTCATTAAGGATAGTTTAGTCATTAAGGGTAGTTTAGGCTTATTATCTGTAATTAAGCTTTTGGGTTTTGGTTGTTGTCGACACCCCATTTTGACTGGTCCTAAGACTTATGCGCTCTTTTCTCAACACCCAATGATGAAACCGAGATGTGCTAATTCTATGAGTTCCTCAGCAGAAACCCGAGAGTTAAGCTTTAAATCCCAACCAAGTACATGTTTTGGTCAATGTGCTTTTTGACCAATTGAAAACCCTTTTCAAAATATGTTTGGTTGCACAGTTCCAAACATTTCCGTAATGTGCTAAAGCTCATCTTTTCAAACTTAAAATGTTGTCTCCTTTCAAAACAAACCGAGCAAAGGATACGGTGTGAATGAATGGAGAGCGTGGAATCCTCTGAAATACATGTTTTTCCTTTCAAATTAAGCTAACTTTACCTTATTTATCCCATAATGTATATTCCATCTGGTCGGATAGGAATATAGTCGGCCGGATATATAATTGTACGACTTGCTGAATTGTCCGAGAACAGAGCATTTTCAGGAATTTGGGCCTTTTCTGCGAATTTTTCATAAATATCTCAGATATTTATGTCCAAAACTCTATATATAGAGGACGAAAGTTCATTTGATAGGGTTAACAAATTTTGCCCAAGGCCTAAGAATAGAATTGAGAGCTTCCTTCCCTCACTTCACCTTCAACCTCCATTTTCTCAGCTTCAAAACTCAAAAACACCATTAAAGCTTCACTCCAAGCTTCTTGTTGAGGATCTTGAACATTCTAAGCTACATCTAAAGGACCCTGAGGGTGTCAAAAAAGAGTTTGAGAACCAAGAAGATTATCATCTTCAAAAAGGTGAACTTTTGAACTTTGTAACATCTTTTCTCTCCTGTTCTTCATTCTGAAGCTCTGAATTCTATTGTAGGCTTGTTGTAATCTTGTAATAAGTCCTCATGGATGTGGTTGGAGGTAGAAAGTAGCCACCCATCCATTGAGTTGATAGTTTTCCTTACTTTTCCATAACTTTAGTACCTTTTCCTGCTTTCTGGAGTAATAATCTCTTGTTGTTGTATATTGGAATCTTATAGGTGTGATTGGAGGTAGATATTAGCCATCCATCTACAAGTTTGATTATGTAAAGTAAAGTCTTTGTTGTTCTCACACTTTCTCATCACAGATCTCATCATTCCATCATATTGGTCTATATGTTTCGACCCATGCTCAAGATAAATGAGTGAAAGTGGTTGTTTCATAGGGCTAGAGGGATGATCTTTAAGATTTGATGTTGAGGAAGTGGCTGTCCTTCATATTCATTGATTTCTCTTGAAAGTAAAGTAAGAAGTTTCAGGTCAAAGATGTTGAAAACTCTCTTCTCTATCATTGGTGAGCATGGAAAGGGGTGGAAACACCCTTATTTCATGAATAGAAGAGGAGTCTTCAATAGCCTTTGATGGATTTCTTGCTTTAAAGGCAAATCTTCCAGTAAGAAATGATAGACATTAACCTACTCTCTTCAATTGATAGCATGGATTTGAGTACTAACCTGCCTTTATTCACAAAGAAATGATTGTAGGTTCCTATCTATTTCTTAGGCTTGAATTTTGTTTGTTTAAATTCATTCAATTTGCGAAATTACGGTAGAATATCTGTTGTACATAACTATTCGTGGGATTGCTAAGGGTTGGGGGCCTATCTACCTTATTCTCAAGTGTTCTTTGGAAAAGGGAGAGATAGAAAGGATGAAAACCCCTTGGAAGTTGTGTTTCGCTTTTGTTCTGTTCCTTTTCTACAAAAAACAATGTTCATTCTGGAGAATTGGATCGGCCGGACCTCTATTTGGCGGCCAAATAAGGCTTATTCCCAAGTAGAGCAAAGAAAACAGGTCAATTTCTGGGGGAGTGTTCTCCTGGCATCTTGAATTACTGTTTTGTATATTTAGCATGATTTGTTAGATTTAGCAATAAATTGGCTAAATCAATCCATTTGTTGTAATAATTCCTCCAAACCCCACGTCTTATTCATTTGAATTGTTGTAATACTTCCAACCCCACGTCTTCCTGTCCCTTTTATTTACACGCTTTCTGTGGATGTTGTATATGGCATCATGTTTTATTTATCACACCCACGTTGTGCATCCATTTTTTTCATGCATGTGGCTCCGGTTCATTTGCATTGATGGATTTTATCGATTCAAGAGGTGGTTCTAGGCGCTATTTCATGTCTTGAAATGATACACATGCCATTTGGTAGTAACTGAATTCCTAGTTACATATCGTGGGTGTATTGCATTAGCTACCTGTATATAGGATCATGCATGTATTTCTAACCCATTCTTCTTGGAGATTATTTCATTTTTACCCCTATACTTTGTCACGTTTTTCAAAGACCCCCCCAGACTACTCTTATTTTCACGCGTACCCCTATACTATGTGAATTCCTTTCAATTTTACCCCTACCGTCTATTTCCGTCAAGGAAGTGGACGGAATGGGTGACGTAGCCCCCTATACTTTTACATAGAGGGAAAATTAAACAACTTGGCTGATCACAATCAAGTTATATACATTAGGGTTGCTTAGAACTCTCCAAATCGCAATTAGGGCTTTTAATTTGCTCTCAAAATTCCAAAATCAAAGCTGCGAGTGAACGACCGTGAAATCACATTGATATCAAAGGTTGAACGATGGGTTGGGTGCTAAGAGAGAAGAATAAGGGTGAGGAAGACAAACACCTGTATATGATATGTATGTTTTTTTTTTTTTTTTTTTACAATTAGCTGATGTGCTAACGAAGGGACTACACAAGAAGCAATTTGATAAGCTGACTAGCAAGCTGGCTATGGAAGATATCTTCAAACCAGCTTGAGGGGGAGTGTTGGAAATTTGTGTTAATGTATATAATAAGATGGTGGCATGTATATAATATGATAGTGGTGTTGGTGAAGGATAGTGGCATGTATAGAATATGATTGTGGTGTTGGTGGTAGATAGTGGCATGTATATAATATGATAGTGGTAGATAGTGGTAATATATAATATGTAAGTGGCATATAATGGGTTATAATGATGTTTGTAATATCTCCTATATAAGGAGTGTCATTTGGTCTTGTAAGATAAGAAGTTTTGAATATAACAGAAATATATTCCTTCTTCCTCATATTTTTGGAGTTCTTCTTCCTCATATTTTCTAAGTATAACTATTCCAGTAATGTTAGTAGTTATGGTGGGATGGAGTTACTAAAATCTAATGCTGATGTATTGATGTTGGACACATGTGGATGAAAATAGAGTAATAGATGTTTATATAGGACACAATTGGATGATTATGTAAGTATACAAAGTAGTCAAGTAGGCTCAAGTGTAGAAACAAGTAAGGGTAAAGCGGTAATGCTTGATGCTGAATTGAAGGAAGATGAAGATAGTGATGCCTATGATCTTGACCAGTCAGACTCATCCTCTGATGAGTCTGAAAAATATAATGACAGTGACTATGAGCAAGGTGATGATGATGCTTTATATGATAAACATTTTGACAAAGATGTGGAATTTGGTGGTTTAGGAAGTAATAAGGATGCTATGGGTGATGTGGCTGACAATGATGACCTACAAAGCATGGACAACTCATCTGATGAGCTAAGAAGCCTTCATAGCTCCTCTGATGAAGATAGTCATTGAACTAGGATTAAGTACCCTATTTTTAGTGAGAGGGACATGCATAATCCTACATTCCAACTTGGCATGGAGTTTAAAACAAATGTGTTGTTTAGAGATGCTGTGAAGGAGTATGCTATTAAGTGGGGGCAAACAAATCACATTTACTAAGAGTGACAAACATAGGGTAAGGGCAGAGTGCAAACCTGATTGTCCTTGGGTTTGCTATGCTTTTTTTGTGAAGGGTGAAGGGGTGTTTAGGATCAAAACTTTTGTAGATGAACACACATGCAACAGAACATTTGATGTGCCACATGTGAGTAGTAGATGGATTGTCAATAGGTATTGGGAAAGGATTAGGTTAAACCCTACCTGGCCAATTAAGTCATTGGCAGACACGATTACAACAGAGCACAATGTCAAAG